TGTGTGTTATCATTTTTTTTTTAAATCCTGAAGTGTCACATCAAGCACTGTCCAAGTGTCTTACACCCCTCCAAAGAAGTCCCGAAAGACTCTTCAACCAGTGTGCATTTTGAACTTAAGTTAACCCCATCAACGGATGGTCCCAGACTCACCAGAACTAGCACGGCGAAGTCATGTCACGTCATGTGAACGAGCGATTGAAACAGTTTTACTAACCGGTCTTGATAACCGGCCCAACTGACCAGAACTCAGACAAAGCTTGTTTTGAAAGAAGCAGCAGAACTACGTATAACATTGAACATTTGTATGTCGAAATTGAAACAGTTATCAGACCATCATAGAAGAATTCTGATTAGAAACAAAAGCGAAAGTAGCCTAGATCTTGAGAAGTCAAGCCAGAATGCCAAATCGATACTGTACTACTTCCATTACAGTTGAAATGACACGTGTGAGCAAAGATCCAAAACAACTTGGGGCAAATCAACTACTAAACCCTGTATCGATATTTCAAAAAATAGTGCTCAAAATTCCTGCTGACAGAAAATTGAATTGGTGCTTTCCGTGACAGTGAAGAAGGCCAAGTAAGTTTTTACAAAAATCCGGCTGTGAACAGGCAGAACAAAAAAATAGTTACAAAAATAGTTACATACGATCGAAATTGGAAAAACCGGGATGCTTGAGATTTGAGGCAAAAAATCGGGATATCCCAATTAAATCGGGTTGAGTGGCAGGTCTGAAAATGGTAACTTAAATCTTTTAAATTAAAGCTTCTGGACTAGAGAGAATTAACCGATCTTGGGAAACAGACAAAGCTGCAGTGTGAGTTTGAAGGTGCATCCAGATGCTCAGTACTAAAAGGACTTCCGAAATGAGCGACCACCTAACAATTAACACAAAAAGAAGAGACCCTAGCTTCTAACCCTAACACTACTTTACTGATTTTGTCCCAAACCCTCTAAGCTATGAATTTCACAGTGGTCGCTCATTACAGAATTCCTCCCGTTCAAGGCCACAATAAGAAATTGACGGCTAGGCTATCCGTACTTAATAATGATGGCTAGACTGACAAAAAGCAAAAAATACTGAATTGTATATCTAAATAAAAATTTTGTTTGCAATACGTAAAAAGTATTTCAGACTAAACCAAAAGATGCCTTACTGACATGCATGTATTTTTAACCCAAACAATTACTAATGAGACCTGCGTTCTCAACAGGCTTTGGTCAATGGGGCCAAACCTAAGTACGGCTAGACTGGCAGGCTAGCTGTACAGTAAAAAGATGATATAAATATATATAATATGTGAACTGAAGAAGGCAAGGTCCTCCTGCTGGAGTAGAAGTAGAGGCAGAGGCTAGATAGGCCTACTTTCCCACCTGAAACAGACTGCAATCCAAAAGTATAGTGTCGCCTAGGCATAGATTCTTGAAAGAAAACGGCAGTGCTGAATATCCAAATCCACCGAAATCTAACGAACTCCACTGAAAGAAATCTACCGACATATCTACTAAAATCCACTTAAAGAAATATATCGAAATCTACTAAAATCCACCGAAATCTACTAAAAATCCACAGAAATCTACCAAAATCCAGCAAAAGAAATATACCAAAATCTACTCAAATCCACCAAAATCTATCGAAACCTAAATCTACCGAAATCTATCTAAATCCACCGAAAGAAATCTACCGAAATTTACCATAATCCACCCAATTCTACCGAAAGAAATATCTTCTAAAATCCACCAGAAAAATACCAAAATCCACCGAAATCTGACTTAGGTGGAATTCGATGGATTTCGATAGATTTCAGTGGAATATTAGTAGATTTCTGTAGGTTTCTTTCGGTGGATTAGGTGGATTTTGGTAGATTTTAGAAGATTTCGGTATTATGGTATATTTCTTTAGGCGGATTGCAGTATATTTCTTTCGGTGGATTTCAGTGGAATATTGACGTAGATTTAGGTACGTTTCTTTCGGTGGATTTGGTGGATTTCGGTATATTTCCGTATATTTGTTTCGGTGTATTTCTGTGGAATAGTAGCAGATTTCTCTATGTTTCTTTCGCTGGATTTAGGTAGATTTTGGTATATTTCTTTCAAAGGATTTCAGTATTCAGAAGCACCCACAGAAAACAGCTCTCGCTATGCTGTGGCAAGAGACATTTTTATTTTAAAAATACGTTCTCAGTCAGTTACAGTAATTATATAACACGGTCAAAAGCAAAGACAAGACTCCCTCCCCATCCCCCCAAATTTTTATGGCATCTTCTAGAGTAGGCTAGGCTAGAAATGACTGGTTACCGCACACTCCCTGTTTTTATGGCTGCCATTTTTCCCACCCCGGGCGGTAAAAAGATTTTCTCTTGTATAAATTCCCACCCTCCTGAGGGGATTTAAAATTATTTTACT